AAGCCAATCTGCTGGAGGAGATTCAACGCTCCCGTGATACAACACTGTATGGAAGCTCAAACTGCAGCAGATTTCTCACTGTTACATTCTGTGCATACATATATATACGTGTGTGTGTGTGTGTGTATGGTTTTTAGTTAGCCATACTTTGGTCCTTCGGTAACTGGCTCAAATCTTGGAGCTTTTAAGCGTCATATCACAGAAAGATGATCTTTAGACTTACAGACCAATTTTTGTTGGAAGGGACCCCAAATGTCCCCTGTTCCCACCTCCTGCTCAGAGCAGAGCCAGCCTACATCTCCTTGCTTGGAGCATCATCCAGGTGAATTTTTGAGGTCTATGAGACTGAAGTCACTGCACCCTCTCTGAGCAACTTGTTGCAGACTTTAATTGCTCTTGTTGGAAATTTTTCACTTCTATCATGCTAGAATTTCCCTGGCTGCAACTTGTGGCTATTTCCTCATGCCTGTTGCCTGCGCACCTGTGAGAAGGGTCTGAGTCTGTCCTTGCCGAAACTGTCCACACATGTGAGCAGGTTTGCATGTGTCCTGTGCAAATGTGTTCTTATCCTCGCTAACCTTTCCTCCTTTTGGTTTTCTTCTTCTGTTTGGCTAGCTCAGCTGTTGCTTTGCTGAGGTCTGATGACAGAAGCGTGTAGGAGGTTTATGAAACAAAATGTTTTGTCATATGCTTTGTCTTTGACCTATTTTTGAAAAAGTTTTGAGAAGCACATATACAGGTGAAATTCCCAATTCTCTCCACAGAAGAGCAGTGTTACTGTAGTACAGCTGCAGAAAACATCTAACATGTTGAATATTCTTTAGGTTATTTTCCTTTTTTTGGAATTTAAAATTAATGAGCTAGAGAAATCTTCTTAGATTTTTACTGGGATCAGAAAGATGCTTACTGTGAACTGCCAGAACGTGTGTCTAAGAAATGCAATAATATATGAGATGTAGAAACATTTCAAACATTTGAGTTGGGCCAGTTTTGTGCTGCTACAAGAGCAGCCATCTGGAAACTTGGAGTTCTTAAATGCATGTTGAAGTTACTTCACATCAGCAAAATATTTCCCATGGGACTTTTTGAGGAGGTAAGGGAGGGATAGGAGGAAAGACTGAATTCCAAATACAGCTTCAAGTGTTGCTTTTCATATTGATACTTTGGAGAGGTTTTACTTTAGTTCTGATCTCTGTTCTTATATATAGCCTTTATTCTTCCCTATGAGTCTTCAGTTTTCTGGAATACTGATGGCAAAACTCCTGTGTTAAAGTAATTGTTAGAAACCTTTCCACAGTACTGTGGCATTAATTATTCCTAGAATTTCAATGAAACGGGAAGATAATTTAATGAACTTGAATTTTGCATTAGCGATATTCTGCCTTGTATGCTTATCTATTATCTGTCCATCTGGCAGCTCACATGCTTGTTGGCAGAAGTGCTTTTATTTCCTTTCCTGAAAAATTCTGGCATTGAATGTGTAAACAAGCAGCACTTCCTTCTTCATTTATAATTCAGCATGAAATTCTGAACATTATTAGTTAATTAATATTAAATATGGTAAATTCTTGCTAGTGCGAGTATAACGCTGCGAATTGGAGCATATGGCGTGGTACCACCTCCTCACAGTGAGAAGCTGGCAGATTGAGATCCATCTGTCAGCTGACACACGCACCAGTGCACGTCTCCGAGTTTACGGTGAGGCAACGCAGACTGCCAAGAGAAACCGTGAGTGGGGCTGAGAGCATCTACAATCATGACATATTCTGAGGGAGGGCAAATGGAAGAATTGCTTTCCCCGCCCCAATTTGATAGATGCTTAAAAAATTTACAGAGTCTTTATTTGAAAAGACGTGCTGCCTTTTGGTTTCAAAATTAATTTATTAATAGCAAACTTGCTATGGACCCTGAGCTTACCAGTGTGGTTATCTACAGCCTGTTGGTTTTTTGCTCAATTTAGCTACTGGGAAGGCCCCAGCTGTCTACAGCCATACAGAAAACATGCTCCCTTGCTGCGGGAGAAGTTAAATTACTCTCTACTTGGACCAGTCTGATGTGATAGTATATTGTGCTGGGCAGGCAGCGTAACCTGGATGTTGCATCAGGGGTATGTAGGAGAATACCTGGCAATATCTGCATATGATGTTCACAGACCTAGAGCTGCAGGAAACTAGGCTGAGAAAAAAACCCACTGTTTCATATGGATCTACTGGGCTTTCAAGTGTACAGGTACATATTCATCAGGTAGCAACTCCTAACGCATTTAAAAAGATTGTCTCATTTAATTTGCGGGGGTAGAAGTTTGTGGTGTGATCATCCATTTAATACATTCCCGAAAGACATCTGTAGAGGCTTTCGAAGTTAACTCTCCTGCTTAATGTTAACTCAAATGAAATATTATCTTTTTAGAATTGCCCAGAGAAACACAGACCTTCTGAAGTCTTTTTCTCAGTATGGATAAAATTTGAAATGGTGTTAGCTGAATTGGTTTTATATATGCTCTTCCAAAACAAATTCTTAGTGAATACTTTAGAGAAAGAAATGAATCCACAGGCTTATACAACTTCTTCGTTAGTAACAATAGACAAGAGCCTAAGTTTGGAATTCCTACCCCCTGCCCCGCCAAAGTATGCAAATCTTACCAGTTTAATTTTTATTTTGTCTCCAGAAAAGCATCTTGCACAAACTCGACAGTAAGTTGAAACTTCTGTTTCTTGCATTTATTTTGTGCTGCTTTGTGGCTTCCTGTTCTTGTGCAAAAGTGATACTAATTAAAGTAATCCATAGTGTGACTGGAGAGGACTTGTCATAAACAGCAAACTGGTTAACTTAGCTGAGTGTTGCTCATTTTTATCAGAAGTTTTATATTTATTGCATGCTGTTCACAGAGAAAACTGCTGGCAAATATTGCTATTACAACTTTATCTTTGGTGTAAATGTACAGTCTTCCTCTTGTCACTTTTTAATTTCTAATGGTCGTATTATATGGAGGTTAAACACAGCTTCTCTCTCTGCTGTCAGCAGCAGTGACAGACAGTAAAATCAGAAGTTGTTAGCTTGGTGCTCCCTGCAAATGCTGCCCCTCCACCTTGGAGGTGCTATTTATTTATTTAAGGCATTCAAGTAATTATATTAATGCTGTATTGTATGAGGATGATTGGCTTTGGGGAAGTTTGCCTTGCTTGTGAAAAAGTTGTGATTGGTTCATAAACCAAACGTGTTTTAAGGGCTTGTAAGCTAGGTAAGCATAATTTATATCTATCGCATCCTATTTGAAACTTAAATTCATTGCTAATACCTGGAGAAGCAGGTTAAAATACCTGTTGATGTTTTGCCTGACCTATACCTGGTATGGTTTGTGCCTTTTAAGACAGAATCTCTGCAAGTTGTAGAGGAGGAGGGGAATTGGTGCTTAATTTTTTTAATTTTTTTTTTTTAAGAGATAACTTCTGAAATAAGAGCCTAAATAATTATTTTTCAAGACTTAGGTTAAAGCAGCTGGTGAGTGACACTGAACCTTGGACAGAAGAAGGAAGTAAAACCCATATATAAAACCCATCCTTAGTGGAAAGGTTTTCCACTACCCTGTTATCTTTGGTCCATCTTTGGGATATAGAAGGAATTAGTATCTTGCAGCTTTAACAGAAGATAAACCTGTGTTATGGCATTAGGGCAGATCCAGCAGAGGCGAGGCTGCCACAGCTCCCTGCCCCAGGTCTGACCCGTGGCAGGGCTGAGCGTGTGTTCCCAGTAGGGAAAAAGGTTTTCTTGCCCAGAAAGAGTTAGAAATGGAATTTCCTAAGAAGATATGACAGACTGCAGATCAGACAGTACAAGCGTATGGACCAGCCACTGTTTATGTATGAGTGACTGTTTTTATCCCCTTATCCCTCTATTTCCCCCCACTCCATGAGTCATCTAGATCCTTCCCTTTCCCAGCCTTTGGTTCCTCCCCTAAACAACCCATAGAACGTCTTGTGCAATCCAAAAACACTCTTCCCTTGCAGCCCATTTCTGTCCGGTACCCTGACGTGCTGACCGCCTCCCTCGCAAAGGTGCTCTGGAGCGGGCTCCCCAGGATGGGGGTCACCCCTGGCTGTGGGGCTGAGGCTCTTCTGGGGCAGCCGTCCCTTCCTCTGAGTCTGGAATTTGTGTTCCCCCATCTGCCTTTGGGCTTCTGCTCCTCTGGGCTTGTGGGGATGGACCTGGGATGGGCTGATGGCTCCTGGGATGGACCTGGGAGTAGCTGGGCAGGGTGCGAAAGGAGCTTTCTATCAGATAGAAATAATTTGTATTATAAACTGTATCAAGATTAAAATAGTCAAATTAATCTTTTTTTTTTTTTTTTTAGCTTTTATATAGTTGGCAGTAATTTTAATACTGGATTTCTTTGAGGTTTTAATACGTTAACAAGTATCAACCTTTTTGCAAAGGGATTATCTGCCTAAAAAATCTGTCCTGCTTTCCTTTTGCAATTCAGTTTGCTCACAAAAGTCTTACTTGTCATCCATAAAATAAATATACTTTGTCAGAGAATATATTTGTCCTGCTACTAATTCACTTGATTTATTTCTGATATTATAGATTGCCCCTATATTATAAGAATACTTTCCAATTTGATTTTTGGTCTCCAGTGAGCAAAAGAAACGGCTTTTCCTAATACCTGCTTTCCTATCAGAAATTAAATTTTCTGGATGGGCAGTCATAAAAGCTCAAGCCAATGAAATGGTGGTTGGTAATAGATTATTTTTTCATGTGAGGTGTGTTGGCAGTCAGACGATGGATCCGTAGGAACTTGAGGGTGTCGGAAGGGAGCCAGTTTCTTTAAAAATGTGTCCTTAAGAGACTGATAAAGTGAAATGCAGTTATGTAAGATCTAATTTATCAAAGAATGTAACGTTTCTGCAGGATGATTTGCTTTCACTTTTCTATATTTTTGTTGCTTTGGGAGTTGCTGATTGTCTTCGCTTTTTTTTCCTCCCCTCCCCCCCCCTTCTTAGTAAAACGCTTCAGAGAACCAAAGCATGAAAGACGTCCCTGGAGGATATGGTATGTTTCTGCATGCTTTATTCTTAAATTTTTTGTTTCTTGTGTGTTTTAGAAATTGAAGGATTGGTTGTTTGCATATGATGATTAAAAAAAGTTATGACAACAAATTGTTGACTGACAGTGAGGAACAAAAGAAGTTAGCAAAATACATGAGTCAATGAAAAGTTATCTTCTGTGTGTTTCCATGCTGGTTCTTTCTTACTGAACACCTCCAGAAATCTCTGCAAAGATGTGCATCTAGACATAAAGCTTCAAGTTGTGCTTCTTCCTGAGGATGGAAACTTACAGTTGCCTTAAGATGTATTGAACATCTACAAACTTACATAAGCTTACAAGAAGCTCTCAGCTGGGCTTAAACAAAATTCCATGTCCTGTAGCTATCTTACTGCATATAAGATAGAAAATAATATGGTAAAAGATGTATTCTTTTATGGCTTATGTATTTACAAGGTATAAAAATATATTTGTTTTTATTACTTTTAAAAAGTAGTTGGATTGTAGCAATGCCAAGGTAACCTGTACTAGTTTTGAGACTGGTGTAAATCTTAAGCTGCCATTCCAGTTGTTGAAGACTTCAGTGGTTTAAATTAATCTCATACAATGCTGCTTTTCAAAACTAGTCCTGATCTTTATTTTATTGAAAAAATAAATACAAAATCTTTGTACAATACAAAATCAGTCTACCCCAGCCTGAAATTCTGAGAAGTGTGGTGATAGCCCTTAATTTTTAAGCAAAGAATCTTGTTCTGGGACTTGAGTATTGTTATTTATAGTATGGTGTACTGATCAGATAAGTAACTCACTGGCTTCCTGCTTCATCTCCGATACTGCTTTCTATGCCATGCAATGAATGCAAGAGAATGAAGTTTAAAACAAAGTTGTCAGGGAGGGGAGATGAATTCGGGCCTAAAATGTCGTTTGGATCTGTTGGGGTGTTTGGATCTTTTTAGGCATGGAAGCAACAGGCAAAATGGGTGTTGGTCTGTATAAAGAGTGCACTCTTGCCTACAGAATACTTTTGATACGATTCCTATATTTAACATTTAATAAACTATCCACTGGAACTTTTGTTTTTAAGCAAAGGATGACGATAAAAGAATGATAAGGGCAGGAGTCAATAGTGAATCAGTGTCTAAGTGTTTGTTTTTTTATATTTTCCCTGTAAGTAGCAAACTATTTTCTCTCTAACTCTGTCATCTGCTTTGGAGATAATGCTTTCAAGGTTGTAATTCTTTTGCAGTGTGATCTAAGCTGTTGTACTACAGATAAAGTTCAGTGAGACCACTTCATGCTTTCAGGTGAAAAATATGTTGGCTTTTTAGCAAAATGCTATAGATAAAGGACTCATTAGCCAGCTATTATCTTGTTCACCAACAAGCACATGATGAGGATTTTATTTTTGTCTGTGCTATAAACTTGCTAAAAATGCATAAATGTAGAAGGACTGAAATATCTAGCGAGGCTGGCATACTCCTAGTTTACAGGAGGTTATTAAAGACTTAGCTAGGTTTAGTGAGGATTAGCTCTTGGATAATGCATATGATACCAAGAGGATATCCCTAGACTTTAGATTTACAGTGGTAAGGTTTCAAGTTAGTATGATTTGGTTTATTGTTAGCAATATTCAAGAAAAAAAAGGGCAGAATTTAAAATGGAACACTGTTAAATAAGCTAAATACCATGACACTTTATCATTCTGGTGTTCTTATTCGAAGAAAAAAATGAATAATTGAGGTGGAATTTTAATTAAAATAAATTTGCAACGTCTGACTGTGGTGTAAACAGTTTTGTGTGTCTTAAAAACTGTTTTTACTCTATACAGGTTTTTAGATACTTCCAAGCAAGCCATAGGGATGTTGTTCATCCACTTCGCAAATGTCTATTTATCAGACCTTACAGAAGAAGACCCTTGTTCACTGTGAGTGTTTAATTTCATAATAATTGGTCTTTATGGAAGTTCTGCGGTTGAGTTTGATGGTGTACGTGGACGATAATGCAAGACAGAGCTGAGAAACCAATTTTCACGGTAAAAATCAACCACTTTCAAGAACCTGTGGTTTAAGCTTAGTTAATCAAGGATCAGAGTTCTGCTCTTTTAGTTCATGGCTGGAAGGGCCTGGGAAAGCTTTTTCTGGGCTGTATATAGATATTTTAGACCGAGTATAAACTCTTACTACTTCACCCTCTACAGTTAATGAATGAGGACTTAGGATGCACGTTGTAATATGAGGCTGTTTACTGAAGGAGGTGCTAGGGACCAAAGGAAATGAATATACAGTTGCATACACTGACCTCCAACTGCACTGTTCACTGCAGCAATGCTTTAATATAAAGTCAGGTTGCTTTCAGGAATATTTAGCAAAGATCATTCGTGTATTTTCTTCTAAAACCTACATTAGCTACTGCAGTATTTTCATTTTGTTAAAAGCAGGAAATCTTGCTCAGTACCCAGGCAGTTAGTACAAAAATTAATTTTGCAATGTCACGCTTGAAGCAGTGTGACTAAATAGATAAGCATTTCACTGTAGTATATTAAACCTGAAGATTTATGACTAAGACCCTGTCAGGCTCTTTACAGGAGCTCCTGAAGCAAATGGTAATTGTTTGGGTTTGTTCTTGATAGGGCTCATGCTCAAAGAAGCTTACACATTCCTGGTAACAGAAGCTGTGAAATTACTTTTAAAAGCCTAGTAATTTGCCCTTTAAAACCAATCCAGTTCCTTCAATGGTATCTGCTCACTGTTGTCCTTTGGTAAACAAAGGAGCTACACAGCTCAGGGCATATGCTTGTGTTGCTTCACAAGCCTATTTTATTTCCCTTATTCCTCCTCGGTTTCTTTCGTGTGCCTACATGCTATAAACGTGCAAGTAAAACACAGCTTTTTTCTTCCCACTACAAAGCATTTTGGTAGGAAAAATGCATTTATTTTAAGACACTAATAAGTTATAATTACAACAGTTTCAATAATACCAGGCATCATTGTAGAATTTTGCTTGCTTACTGATTTAAGAATTTTCTGATAGATTTAAAAACTAGCAGGTGCAAATTGCTTTCATTCCATTTTTATATATTAAAGTATATATTCAAGTAAGCTAACCAAAGCATGTCTAAAATTGTCAGTGTTTAAAGCTAAAACTCAGTAGTTTATTACAGTATTTTAAAATTAAAATCAATTTTGTGCTGTGTACTGAGTTTTCAGGATAAAAGGTATACTAACTTGTGCATTCTCTTCTACATGTTTTAATATAGTCTACATAACTTTATTTTCAAATACCACTTTTCACGTAAGTGTAACATGACACAAAACAAGTAAGAGCGTGAGGCAGAGAACTGTTATTCACTGTTCTCAGGATAACAAAAATTACAGTGTGGAGCTGTATAATTTCTCAGACAAGGGTGCAGGGCCTCCGTGTTAGCAGAAAAAATAACATGCAGTATTAACCAAAGCCACTTGTCCTTTCTTGAGAAAAATATATCTTAAGTGTGCAAGTGGTTCAAAATTAGTGCATAAAAGCAACGTTTCTGTTTGTGACTTTTAAATAATAATAGTTTTACTCAGCAAATTCAAACATGGATAGGTTTTTTTTTGTTCTTCTCTGTTTTGTAGTTTGTGGGTTATTTTCAGAACAAAACCAGAAAATGTAGTTTTAGAAAACACTGTGGTTCAAAGCTTGGAAAGAATTGGAAGTTGCCATTTGTTAGATTGGGAATGTAGTGCTGTAATTCAGGCAGGTGTGTGATAATATCAAAGCTGGTAAAACATCTGTTAAAACACCTTGACAGATGGGTTATTATTTGAAGAATTTTAAATAGAAGAAGCAAACAGCACTCCTCTTCTGTAGTGCAGGGTAGTCGGCTGGCTGTGCATGGCACACCGGGAAGTTTGTATGAACCCCAGCCTTTTACTTGCTGAACTCTCAGCCAAATGCATTTATCTGATAGTGGTAGCAACTTGTTCTGTTGTTTGTGCTGGTGCACCAGTTACATGTGAGCGGTGTTAACGCGGTGCATCACAGAATGAGCATGTTGCCTACGTGTAGTGAGCCTCATGTGCTTGGGAATATCGGGCATACCTGGCCTGCGCTGTGAGCCGTAATTTGATGCAAAATAGGTGTTGGCACATCTCTTCTCCCTGAGCCTGATGGCTCTCTTCCTGCTATAGACTTACAGCAGCCCCTTGTGGCCTTAAAATGACTTGTGTAGACTTGTAATTGCTGAGTTTCCTCTGCCAAACACTAAACCTTGATTGTAATGTTTGTCTAATAGAAAGTTCATGAAAACTCTGATTTGAAGCATAACTATTAGAAAATAACTATTTTTTAGGAAGCTTATGGGTAAATCTTGGCTGAAGCAAGGCATGTCCATTTTTTGTTTTGAGCTACTCTTGAATGGGCTTTTGAGGGTCAGAACAGCTCCTCCTTTACTGTTTTGAAGGCATGTATTCTGTCCTTGCTTTCCACTTTCTGATACTATTTTGTCCACATGGATTTGTCTCTGCAGCCAGCTGAAGCCCACAGGTCTCTGATTTGCTGTTTTTATCCCTGCAGATAAATTCCTATAGATTCTTAGCTTACCTTAAGTGTTTGGAATTAACAAATAGGAATCTCAGTAACAGGGATTTACTAGGTGTCTTATAGCTGGCTCTTTCTCAGCTGCTGTTTTGTTAGCTAAAATCAGTGATAGTAAATAAACCAAACTGACTTACAAAATGCTCTGACTTTCAGCTGTATCATTTAATGAACCTAAGAATTAATTTGAAACCCATAGTAATCTCTAGTTTCTTGAAGCATAGGTAAGATCTGAGAAGCTCTTTTTGAAACAATAAAACTAGTAGTGCATCAGATGTGTGTCCATTGAGGTGATGGTTTGGTTTGTTTGGGAGTTTTTTGGGGGCAAGTCTTGTTCCTGATTTTTTTCAAATGTTTATTGAACAAGAACTGAAGTGCAAGGAAGTGAATCACTTTTCTTCCTGACACTAAATAAGTTGAAATTTGGCCTAGATAGTGACTGTACTCTCTAGGCATGGTAGTCCACTGCTGATTGCTCCTTGTTGAGGCTGGGAGGGAACTCCCTTGAGCAAGAAAAACAGTCTAGTTGTGGTGTCTTTCCCCCTCAGAATGAAAGTGGGTTGGGTTGGGTTTTTTACCTTCAAATTCCTTGAGGTATCTTTAAGATACCTTCTCTTTTTATTCCTTTTCCTTTTATTCCTTTGGTTTCATTCAAATACAGGTTTTCCATGCAGAATCAACTGAGCAATGGTAAAAAGGAAATCTGGTTTTAATTTAAAGGACTAAAATGAATATTGGAGTTTATATAGGGTATGTATGTGCACGTACCAGAGTTCACAAAAATAGAAATTGGAGCTTAAATTCAAGGACAGAAACAAAATATTGAGACTATTCTAAAACTATTTAAATTTTAGGCTAACTGTGTAATTACAGAAGTGGGTAAATGATTATTCTCAATAGTCTGGCTTCTCAATGTACATACAGATCTTTTATCAATCCTGGTGTTAAAATACACTGAACTTTTAGAAGATGGACCCTTGCTCCTTGTTTTCTTTTACATTTTTTTTTCCAGGTACCTTATCAACTTCTTGTTAGATGCCACATTAGGAATGCTGTTAATCTACATTGGTATACGTGTAGTCAGCAGCATTGTGGAATGGCAGCAGTGGGAGTCCCTTCGCTTTGGTGAATACGGTAAATGTTTCTGTTCTTGCACTGAAATGATTTTCATGCTAGAATCTCAGAATATTTCAGCTAGTGGTTAACTCATCTTAAGATCATTATACAATGATTATAGTGGTCACTTTAATATTTCACTTGTCACGACGGTTCTTTTAAGTTCTGTATCTCAGCATGCACCTTCTGTGTTAGAAAGCTCAACAAGTCTCTAAGCACTTAGTGAATTTGGAACAACTTTTTGAATATTTATTTTTTTTAGGAGTGTTTGAACAAATTACGATATCGGCTAATCTCATGAAAAAAATAACAGTATGATAAATTTACTCTGAAACACTTTTAAATCAATGATAGCTTTCACTGAACCACATGCTGTTGTCTGAAGATACAGGGTAAGGGTTCTGCCAGCCCCCTTTAAACACACACATACCTTCAGTGAAGAGAATGGCAGGATGGCCTGTGCTTGCCCTCAAGTAATGATCACTTGAACTCCTACACGTAGGGCTTGTATCATTGATGAAAAATGCGTATGTCTTTTGTACAGGCTAAGGGATAGACTAGTGAAATCGCCTTCCCCTGAAGTTCTGTTTTATCTTCCATTATGTTAGCCACAGAAGTCCACTGATCTGCAGAAATTGTGCATTTGCAGATGCAGTTGAGTATCATACATACTCAATATCAACATTTAATTCTGTTCAACTTGTTATTTTCAGATTGCTGAGTCTGGCTGGTTGGGAATGCAAGTTCTGTATAGATGCTAAAAATTACATTTGAAGCTCCTTGAAATAGGAATGGGGGAGAGGTTGCCTTTTAAGAGAGCTATGGCTCTTCATCAGAGAGAAAAACAAACAAACAAAACCTATGGTTTGGGGAAAAAAAAAGCTAAAATAAAGTTTGCCTAACAAAGTAAAAGCTTTCATAGCAGTTTCATAATTGTCATTGGTAGGTTTTTTGGTTTTGTATGTTTCTTTGTTTTTGATGATCCTAAGTGGCTGGCAGAATTAAAAATAAATAAATAAAGGCCTTGCTAAGTTGAAATACTTTAAAAGCTTGGGAAGTTTACAATTAAATGAAATAGCAATAATTGCTATTTGCTTTAATGTCAGAGGTTTAAAATAGAGTTGATGACAAGCATCTATCTTAGGAGAAATAACTACCTATACCATTAGGTAGGGCATTTTTTGTTAGAGTTATGTAGATTTAATGTGTATCTTTTAGGGTACAGTTTATGACCATTTAAGCTGTTTAAATCAGCACTGCCACAACCCTGTCTATCTGTTTTTTTCCCCACATGCCACGGTCCAATATTTCCACTCTTTTCCTTGGACTGGTGCACATCTGACTCTTCAGGGAACTGATTCAGAGAGCTAAACCATCAGAAAATTCATCATATGTAGAAAAGTAAATAGTTCCTCCAGATCAGTCCCCAGACTCGGGTCTCTAAGGGAATAGGTAAGCACCAATGCCCAGGGAAGGGAAAAGGGCAGGGAAATTGCTGAGACACTGCTGAGCTTCACTTCTGACTGAGCTTTGAGACCTATTGCCTGAAGTCCCTTTTTCTGATTGTTGGTTTGGCTTGAAGTCATTTAAAGAGGTTTGAACAGCTTTCAGCCCATATAAAGTTGGCTTTCCGCTCAGAGCAAAAAACTTGGTGTATCTATTACAATTATAGGTAGGTACTTGTAATCACGTCAAATACTAGATTTGATTTCTTCCTAATAGCATTCTGTTTTTTTCTTATGTAATCTGTTCTCCTCTTCCATTTTAATGTCATTTTAACCACAGGTGGTCTGTGTGGATGGGAAGATGTGGGGAGTATATTCACTCTCCTGAAATTTGTGTCTCTCTTACTGACTTCCAAAATGAACCTGTTTTTATTTTAGTTAGTTATGAGGCATCTGTGACTGCAGTAACTAAGCTCTTAAAATCGACAAATGAACTTGTTACTTGTGTTCTGCTGCAGCAGTGGTCCGTGACTGATCCATTATTGTCATTTTGAGTTAGGAGATCTGAAATGCCTAAGCTTGTTTATCAAGTATTTCTTCTCTCCGTGTGTGTGTATAAGCGATGTATGAAATTATCTAAGTCCTCTTTACTTAGTTGTTCTTTCCAATATCAGATCACTTTATTAGTGACTAACTTTTTTTTCTGTATCTTCATTAATATGCTGTCCTGACCTTAATGTGTTATTTTAATCGAGCTATTGTAAGGTCTATTAAAAAGCATATTGTAAATCTGTGTTTCCATTAATCACGTGGGAGAGGTTCTTGGTGTAAAGAGAACTAGACAGCAGATGGAAAGTTATTAGTAATGGCTGTGCGGTAAGGTTAGACCCTACGTAAGAAATCTGTCTAAAAAGGACAAGTTATATTGGATTATTTGCTGCCCTCTTCTGTTAAGTACTACTGTTGTTTCTGAAATGAAAACCCTCACATCACCATTTATTTAAAATTTTTCACTTTGGCCCCAAGAAAACTCTTGCCTATTTTTCATAAGATTACTTAAAATAATTAAATTGAGTAGAAGAGAGGACTAAAATGCAGTCCTGTGGGGTCACAAGTGTGTTTAGACTTTGTATTTTGAAGTTAAATATGGATGTTTAGCATACATGGGTGGTGAAGTGTCTGCTCATTGAAAGGTATCAGAGACTTGTGGCATTTTACCTGAAGTAGTGAAGTCAAGTCCTCGTTTGGAGATCAGTGTGATTTCAGTTTTCTGCAAGTGTGAGAAAACAAACAAGAGCTGCACAGGCTCTCCCCCAACTCCCCCACCCCAAAACAAACCTCCAAGTCTGTTGTGATTGAATGATGATGTTTGTGTTTCTAGAGCCTAAATAATCATTTGTCTCAAGTTAATTCTCACTGTGAGCTCATTTCCCTTCTTAGCTCTATTACTTGATCCCTGGTGATACATTACTTGAAGCTGTCACAAAAATAGCAGTGTCCTGCTGGTTTTAAAAGCCTCTTCTTTATATGGAAGATAGTTTTTAAGCATAAATGCCTCAAGGAACGAAGGGATACCAAAATATCAGCATTCACAAATGGTTGCTGTTTGTACAGCAAAACAGCGCTGTGCGCTCATTTATGAACAAAATAGCATGACGCGCCCTCAAGGGCCTTTTTCTGTCAGAATTTTTAAGTTTATTAGATTTGTCTTCATATTTCTGGTTTTGTATTTTCAGATTCATTACATCAGCAGCTGGATTTTAATAGAAGTGCAGAGTCAGTTAATATATTTGAGTATGTAAAGAGGAGAAAAGCAGTCATGATCTGTACTGAAAAGAATGTTCTCTGCATTCTCCTTCCCTTCTTGTCTTAGGCTACTTTAGCTGCTGAGAGCAGAAAACAGGTGACTAAATCCCTCTTGGTGACAGTGAACTCTATTGTCAACTAAGTTGTGCTGTGGTCTCTTTGCTTGTCTTTGCTTCCCAGATGGCAAAGCTTAGAAATTGTATTTGATGCATCTTTTCCCTCTAGCTCTTTGTTTGCAACTTGCAGAGCAACTTAGTTACAGCCATATAGAGTAGATAGCGCTTACTTTAAAACTTTTTAAAATTTATCTTGGATTAGTTCTCTGAGTTGATGTTTTCTTAAGAAAATTTCTGAGGATTTAAAGAACAGAGAGAAGTTACAGGATAGAGGAATCACAGGTATTTTGTTCAAGAGCTGTCTTTAAATGTGCTTCTAAAAAGTGGCTGATGAAAATAGTACACACTTGTATAGACTAGTTTTTCATTGCCCAGCATTTTCAAAAAATGCTGCTGCAGTTGTCACTGAGGATTCAAAATTTTTCAGTTTCAGTCTTAATGAGCTTTTCTTGCAGTAACAAGATTTCTACTGGTTTGCTAGTTTATTCTAGACATGTAATTTATACATGACAGGTATAAAATCAGAGTTCAGGAGAGACTGTCAGAGACTTTAGAAATGAAATTAGAGATCTGTGGCTTCAACATTAACTTTAAAGCTCTAATTAGTTTGTGTACTGAATCTTTGAACATACTAATGTCCCAAATATTCTTGGGAACACCTCCTGGATGTGGTGATGTTATTAATTGCTACTTTTTCCCTTGAATTGCATAATTTATAACATCATAGAAAAAAATTTAGTTGGAAAGGATCTCCAGAGGTCATGTAACCCAACCTCTTGCTCAAAGCAGGGTTAATTTCAAAGCTAAAGTGGGTTGTTCAGGGCATGGTCCAGTCCAGTTTTTATTTTATCCATAGTTCGAGATTTAAGAACCACTTTGAACAACCTACTCCAGTGCTTAACCACTCTCATTGTGAAAACTTTTTTCCTTTATGTCAGAATTGTACGTCCACCCATCCAGTCTGTATCTCCCCAACTTTTCTACAGGCATGCTATTGGGAGACTGTCAAAAGACTTGGTGAATTCAAAGTAGGCAGCATCCCTGTTCTCCCCACTTGTAATTAGAGCTGAGAGAGAATTTTGTAGATGCAGTAGGGCACACAAAAAGTAGAATTTAATATACACAACTTGTAATTTCAGTCATGTACTAAAGAAACGCAGTGCCCCTCCCTGCAAAAACATCATGGAACAAAATGTTCATTGGTGATAGTGCACAACACTCTTGATAGTTTCACAATTTTTGGACATACAAAATCTCATGTGACGGACTTGGAATAGGTGCAAAATTGCTATAGGTGTCTTTGCTTTTAGGAATTAAATATAGATTGGAAAAGAGCTTGGAATAAACTGGTAAAGTTTCAATGGTAACTCTGTAGCTAAAGCTGGATTATTTTTTTTTTTCATATTTGCTAGTTAGTGAAGAAAACTAGAGAATACTAATAAAAATGTGGAGTATAGAAATTAATTGCTAAAATTTAATTCTCAAATCTAATTCAGGCCTTGTATCTTCAGAAGAATCACAATTGTTCAAATTTGAATTACTGATGTTTCCCCTTTCAAATTTTCTAACTTTCTTTTTTTTTACAACAGAAGCCATAAACTGCAGTATACAGTTGTAAAACTTGAGTGTTTTAACCATTTTCCTCTCGGACTATTGAGTGTTGATCAGTAGGTGTCCTGGTTTCAGCTGGGATAGAGTTAACTGTCTTCCTAGTAGCTGGTATGGTGCTATGTTTTGAGTTCAGTATGCGAAGAATGTTGATAACACTGATGTTTTCAGTTGTTGCTCAGTAGTGTTTAGACTAAAGTCAAGGATTTTTCAGCTTCTCATGCCCAACCAGCGAGAAAGCTGGACGGGCACAAGAAGCTGGCACAGGACACAGCCAGGGCAGCTGACCCAAACTGGCCAACAGTGTATTCCATACCATGGGACGTCCCATCTAGTTTAGGAACTGGGAAGTGGGGGCAGGGAATCGCCGCTGGGGGCCTGGCTGGGTGTCAGTCGGCGGGTGGTGAGCAATTGCCCTGCGCATCATTTCTACATTCCAATCCTTTCATTATTGCTGTTGTCATTTTATTAGCGTTATCATTATTAGTTTCTTCTTTTCTGTTCTATTAAACCGTTCTTATCTCAACCCGCGGGTTTTGCTTCTTTTTTCCCGATTTTCTCCCCCATCCCACTGGATGGGGGGGAGTGAGTGAGCGGCTGCGTGGTGCTTAGTTGCTGGCTGGGGTTAAACCACGACAGTAGGTCTTACTGTAAAACTTGTTCAGGAAGTTTTCTTTGTTTTGGACTCCAGTCTGATTTATTGGTTTCTTTTTGTAGCATTTAGGCAGCAAACAGTAAGTCTCAAGACTATTACCAAGTATTAATACTGAAAGTCTTTCAGAAATGTTCCAGAAAAGGAAGTAGCAGCTATCCATTATGAGTTACAAATATATAAAGGCATCTGAATTTCCATTGCCTGTTATTCATCCCCAGGCTAAAAGTTTTAAGCTGCCTTTGAAGATGTTGCAGAGACTATTGTGAAGACTAAAGAGATAACACCCCTGGTCCAAAGCTTCCTTTTGGTTTCCAATGAGTGCTGCTTTAAGCTCACCTGCAAAGCTTGTTAGGCATACCGGTCCTCTTTTTACTTTTTTTTTTTTTCCTCTTCTTGCTTTCATGGAGTATAATAGTCTACATAAGTTTTCATGTTCAAATATTTGTGGTCTTCATTCTGTCCTGGCAGATAACTTAATGCACTCGTATTCACTCTGTCACAGTGGGGTGCAGCAGAATTTCAAACCCTTTCAGGTTGAAACTAAAATGTGATCTTAATTTTTTTGTTCAATTAAATTTTTTGTAGCAGCTCTTGCACCTGTTGTTTCAATTATCATTGATTAATGATGGTAACTAACTTTGTAGAGAGGAAAAATATGTTTAAGGTAGCCTAGGGAGAATGGCAGAAATCATCTCGTTTCTACTTAGACTGAAGGGAAATGTGTTTTTCCACAGCTATGTTTCCCTTAAGTTTTTCCTTTTAAGAAACTTAATGCTTCATGATAGAGTGTTAAAAATAACAATTAGATGAGAAACAAATGTAATGCAACTATATCTGCCTTGTTTTCATCAGATTATGTAAAACAGTGTATAACCAGGTACTGCTGAATCGGATCAAGTCCAGTTATATTCAATTTCTAACTGATACTTTTTTGAAAGTTGGGGTGAGGCTGAAGGAGGGCAAGGAACAGCATTAAGGAAACTGGAGAAGGCACTTTAGAGGATATAGCTGCCCAGCCTCTTCTAATACTGCTTTTCTAAAACATTTACTGTGAAGTAAAATCAACCCTATGCATGTATTGAACCTTTGTTCTTTCTTGCAGGTGATCCACTGCAGTGCAGTGCTTGGGTGGGCCAATGTGCTCTGTACATAATGATTATGACATTTGAGAAAACCATCATCATTATAGTGCTTCTTATACCTCAGTGGAAAGAGGTTTGTATTTTTGCAGCATTTTACACACAAATAAATTTCAGGTGGAAGCTGTGAAGCAATAAACTTCTAATAGTGTTCATTGGTTTGGCTCAAGCATCATAACTGTCTATAGTCAATCCCATTTAGCTCTGTAGTAGTGGTATGTTCTTTTAGTTTGATTAGGATACTGCTAATTAGGCTTTCTGGCATCCATTGCCAGGATTATCTTATCATGTTTTGGAGGTTTTTTTATATACTGCAATATATAAGACTTCATTCTATCTCCTTGTCTGAGTTCTCTTGAAGCTACTAAGTGGTTCTTCCTTTTCTTAATTCTTTAACCCTTACTTACAGCTATTTTGTATTGCTTCTTGTAGTATTTTAAAGAATTTTCTTTCCCTGACCTTGTCGACAGATCTAAACTTAGAATTTTAGAAATTTGCAATGGATTAGTGAAGCCATTGCTGATGACTGGATAAATATTTATTTTGATAGGATCTGCGCAATATAATATTCAAAGTGATGGTGCATGGTGTTATAGCCCATTAAAACCAGTTAGTCCCTATTGTATGCTATGGACTACTTTGGGAACTGTCTTCTCCTTACTGTGTATTTTGTAAAACTCTGCTCTGTTTAAATTTCCTAAAGATGGAACTTAAAACATGTTCCTGGGGAGCACACAGCCCTAAAATGTTCAAGATGACTCTAACACAGCTCTTTAGACTTCTGTAAACAAAAACGACAGAGATAAGTTTCTTGTCAGCCCCACTTATTTATCTGTGGTAATTTATAAGCTGTCCTAAGCACTTTCCTTTTCTACAAAGCTGTCCTTTTTTGGTTCATATGAATTATTTCTGTAGCATTAGCTAGTACATGAACAATTGTACATACTAATCCAGTTATATGCACACGCTGTCATGATCTGAACTTAATCCTTTTCTTTTCACAGGTAGCTTTATTGAATCCTATAGAGAACCCCCAGTTGGAGCTGGCTATCGTCATGCTGATAGTTCCCTTCTTTGTTAATGTTAGTACAACTTGCACGCTTCTGTGAGATGTTTACTTGGATATCTCTCTGCCATATGTTTAATTAATTAATGTTAGTCCTTAAAGCACAGTGTACCTTGGTGCTGAAGTTATTTTTTAAAGGGTGTTAAAGAATGGATAAAATGTCTGGATATGTAGATTTTACAAAGCTCCTTATTGAACTGAGTAACCAGGCTCGGGAGAGGTGTAGAAATGCATCATAGACCTCTTCGGGCTGATGACTTCAGTAGATTGAATGTAATACTGAAACAGTGACCCAGGGATTATAAAATTACAATGAAATTTGCTTTAGGAAACAGTTGGTCTAAGGATAGCTGTACTGTGAAGCATCCTGTGTCTGACCATAGCTAATAGTGGCTGGCCTATGATGGAGCAGAGGAAAAGGTCAAGTGCGCAATCATCCTTCCCAAAGTATATGCTTCCAGCAGTCTGGGATTTAGGGACTAGAGCCACAGGTGGTGGGTGTCCTTGCATTTAATAACTGCTGGTGATTTTTTTTTTCTTTCATTAATTTGTTCAAACATGGATTTTATCCTTTGAGAACCAAAAGTTTGTTACACTATCTGCCTAAATTCTTCACATTTCTACATGAAGAGTTAATAAGTGATCACTCTGAACAGCAGCTACTTTTCTTATTTTCTTCTCTTCTACAAAGGAATAAAGTAGCTATGTTCTAGAGTATTCATGCAATGTGTAAGAAGCCATGTGACTGTATGCCTGTACAAGATTTTACCTGTTTGGCCAGTTCAGAATTGTCAAGTTTTCCTAATTCTGTCCAAATACTGACTGAATGAATATCTGCTACTCTGAGGAAAACTCAACTGTCACTTCCCCCTTCTCTTTAACAGGCATTAATGTTCTGGGTAGTAGATAATTTTCTTATGAAGAAAGGGAAGACAAAAGCTAAACTTGAAGAAAAGGAAGCAGGACAAGATTCAAGAAATGGAAGTAAAGTCCGATACAGGAGAGCGGCATCACATGAAGAGTCAGAGTCAGAAGTATGTAGAGTTAATTATTGCAATTAATGCAATATCAATCCAGTTCATCCCTCATGCCATTGATTTCATTGTAACGCTGTCAACTTAGTTTTGATTTTCTTTGCATGTACCTCTAATAGTAGTTCCTAGCATTTGCAGTTGAAAACCAGTTAAGAAAAATGGCATTGTTGCACCACTCATGGTAGTTAATTTCTTTCCAGATGGGCAGGAAGACATAATAATATATTTAAATATCACAGGTGTACTGTGTTACAAATGCTTCTAAAAAAACCACACAGAATACAAAACTAATTAGACAATTCTAATTCAAAGAGAGGTTAATAGCTTAAAGTGAGAGGAAGCCGGTGGAGGCAACTGGCCTGATTTTGGAAAAGTATTTACATCCTTGCCTTAGCATAATTTTATTCTAAATTATATTAAGTGGGCAGTTTTCAGTTCAGCTGAAGGATGGGTGGTTCTTTGAAGGTAAGTTGTTTTAGCTTTAGTTGGTTAGTGTAACTTTTCTGCACTCTAGACAGTACTATTTGTATGGGGTTTTCTTTAATAAAATTACTTCCATATTACCAGTGTGGATAGAGGGTTTATATATTCTCTCTCATTTTAACAGCAAGCTGCCCCCACTGTTCTGGAGGTGCTGGAATTACTTATTTGGTTTTTAGAGTCAGTGATTGTAGCAGAGATTAATATTTATGCATCCTTCTTTGAAATTTACTGGAAGTTCCAGATAGGATGTGTGATGTTTGATAGTACTGGCAGTAATTCCAAATTGTGTTCTGTAAGCTCTTTCTTGAGCAAATAATGAGGTGCTTTGCAATCATAAAAAAAAAAAAAAGTAAAAGGTTAAAAGTAGTGAAGAAAGAGTGTGACTTTGATCCATGTTCCTCAGAAGCTGTAATTTGTTTTTAGATCCTTATTTCAGCAGATGATGAGATGGAGGAATCAGATGCTGAAGAGGACCTGCGTAGACTGACCAACTTAAAGCCCATTAAGAAAAAGAAGCATCGTTTTGGTCTGCCTGTATGACACATTCCCTGACCTGTGTATTTGCAGGTTTCATGGCAAAAACTTCAGTCAGTGGGTTTTAATGTTGCAACTGCATCTCCCCTTTCATACAAACTGACTTATAAGCAAGGTCTACCAACAGAATGCAGATGGTTGGAAGACTTCCAGTTCAGTTGCACTACAGACACACTGACCAATTATGCAAGAATGTCTTCTCATCATGTGTGGAAAAACGCAGCGTTGTTAAGGACTAGTTGCTGAGGGGATTTGTATCTGACATTTCAGAGAAGATCGTAGAAAACAGATACAGCAATCTCTCACTTATGGTTACTGATGATATGGTTTAAGATGTTCTCAAAAAGGCATCAGAATCAACTAAGTTAAAGGAGTGTGTTTTATTACTAAAACTGGCTTTTGCAGCATAATTCCTAGAGCAGAATAGTTTATGGTTACAAGCTGTAACTTAACGTTATTTTTTTAAGTACAAATGTTTACTTGCTACTGGGTACCTATGGAACTAATAGGTGGAACAAAGATTTTTTTCCAAGTCTCCTCAAATCTATTTGACTATTTTATATTTAAGTTATATTTTCATACAGTTGTATTTAAAGATTCTCTTTGTCAGAGAAAAGGGTGCAGTTCCCGCTTTTGTGCAGAACAGGTCAAAAGATTCGTAGTGAAAATCTTATTTATCCTTGTATCCTGGTTTAAGACAAAGGGATTGCAAAGGGAAAAACTCTCTGTCACTGCTGAAGTCACCAAATGTCACTAAAAATGCAGTCCTAAGTATGCTTTTGACCACATCATTTGAAAATACCTTTTTTAATAGGAGGTGGTGTTTGCATATTTGACAAACGTGCACTTTAGTGTATAACAAAAATCTGTTGTGATCAGTTACTTATTTGTGAAATGAATATCTATGGATGACTCTAATTATTTCTGTTTCTGCACGTCTCTTGTGCATACCTCTTAAATTACCCAAAAGAGAGAGAACATTTCTTATACTCTTCCTTATATAGGGCCTGCCGTACAGGACCATGATCTGATTGGAGCAGTTGTGCTGCAATACTGCAAATAATTCTGTCCCTTGTTTTTTGTTGGAAAAAGCAATCTTCTGTTTAATGTGCTTTAAAAGATTTCTCCTGTTAAATTTCTATAAAGTCTGGTTATCCTTTAGTATTTAAAAAAAACCAACAAAAAAACACAACAACAACAAAAAAAACCCCACAAAAACCCAAGAGGTATAATACAGTTGTTACTACAGAATTTTTGTGATTTTCAGTGTCTGTCTGCTGATAATTGACAACACTTGGTAATCTGAAACCTAGCAGACATGTTTTCAGTGACATCCTTTTGCTTTGCATATTTTCTAAATGATTGTTTCTGACAGCTTTCCTTGCTTAGTTAAACCTTGTGCAGGACAAGTCGATGTGTTGAAGAGGTGACAACAGACCTTAATTGCAAATCTGTTGTAGTATCTGGACATCAGAAATGTTCCAAGCCTTAAACCAAACAGTTTCATCGGAAAACTGCTCAGAACTTTTTAAGATTTTTTACATTTTTTATAGATTTACTAGGTCTTAATGTGATTTATTATCCAGACCACTTAAATGGGGTTCTTGGGCCTTAGTAAATACTGAACTGTGCGCTCCCGTACTTCTTTTCACTACTCCAGCATTCCTTTTCACTGCTTGGCTGCCGAGGTGAACACAATGTTCTAAGACTTCAGGTACACCTCAGCGTGTCCAGCCAGCTAGAAGGGACATTTACCAAACCTAACGTTTGTGAGTTTAGTTGAGCCACTGACCTCTGTTACTGTGCACTGAAATGTAATAACTGCAATAAGTTTAACTACTAGTGTTTCTTTTAGACTAAATCTAGAAACTAATGACAATGGAAGCTTAATTGAGTTATTCTGAAATGGGGGGTGGGGGGATGGGGAAATGTCCCTAATCAGTGTTGCCTCTGTTTTAGGTTTTTTGGTTTTTTTCATTGATTGTGTGACTTGCATCTTCTCTTGACTATTTACCACTGGGCGGGTGTGTATCTCCAAAAGCACAGTACTTCAAGGAATTCATCTTCATCAACAGAATAGTTTCATACAGCTCACTTTTCCAAAGGGATTTTAGAGCTAGGACTGGCTCTTGTCGCAAATGTCAGCATTTATTTTTTTTAGCATAGGATTTGTTCTATTTCAGATAGTGAAATAAAGCTATTCACCATGTGCTACATACCACTGCACAACTATCACTATCCTCGTCAACCACCAGAGATAACTGAGCAGCGCACACAAATTTAACTGTACAAGCTTTCATTTTATCTTCCTTTTCCCTCCTTTTCTCCGGTTACTTAAATTATTAAAATTATTTCTAGTCTCATGTTTAGTCTGTGAAGTGTCAGAATAAGATTATGGCCTTAATCATGTAAAACATTTGTTTTGAGCAGACCTCAAACTTATTGACCAAGTACAAAACAGTATAAAGCACTATGGAGCAGTTTCTTGAAGACAGCAATAGCAAAGGTATATGAATGCCTAATTTTTCCTGTCTTAAGTGCTTAAATGTCACTTGGTTTGAGATTTTGATATGCCTAGCAAGATGATGTAGTAAAGCACTACGAGCCAAAGAGACAGAAGTATTTTAAATACCACAGTAGTAATGAAGGACCGTATCTTCAGAGGGGAGAAAACAGCTCTAACTTTCTCTACTAAGATAAAAATTTTTTCACAACCTTAACCAAATAACAAAAACTGGTTTGTTTTTTTCCCATTCATTCTTTGTTATCATGTGAAAGAGATGGAAAATAGAAAATTGGTAGTTTTCCTCTTCGTAAGATAAATTCGGAATTCTTGCAGTAGGTACAAGAAGGACAAATGCTCTTGTCTGGAGAGCTTGTATGTGTGAGAAGGAAGTATGTGCCTAGTGCTTCACTATGTCTTACTGTTTGTTGTAATGTATTGGCAGTACAGTCTGAAATATTAAATTTTTCATAAAGAGTTGATCCAGTAATAATATTGCAACGTGATGACGTTTGCATTATCCTCAAATTGGCACTCTAAATTTATGCCTGGTAAATGTGCTTCAGGACAACTCATGGCAAAGGTTTAATTCAGGCTGTGCTTAAAAAAATGTGATTCTGTTTAATGAAAATAAGCTATGTAGTATATGCCAAAGTAAGAGAAAGGGATTGTAACTTACAGAAGAGACACAGAAGTATTGGTGGAGATCGGATTTACCGTGAATGGTCAACCTAAATGTATTAACTGTTTCTGCTATCTGACCTGTGACACATCTGCATAAATTTAAAACACTGGTGTTGTCTAATACGTGGTTTTCAAGTTCTGGCTTTAATATGTTCAGGTCCCCTTGTCTTACTTTAAGTAGGTAAATGCTATATGTTAATGTTGCTAACTAAAATGTACTAGCTTTTCTTCAGGGAAAACTCAGAAACTGAGTTGCAAATTAGAGCAATGCAAAGTGATCCCCTCCCAGGCGTCTGCTCCAATTCCAGCTGTGCCTGGGGAGGGAGGTGTGGGCTCTCACCCTCTGCTGAGAGCTGAGCATCACAAGGAATTTCTGCCACTGTGCTTGACTAACCCATGTTTGCAACTTTGCTGTGCTTTTTACGGGAGAAAACAGTAATGAAAGCAAATACATTCAGCCACATCAAGTCAGAGTAGATCTACAGCATAGGCGTGCAAACTTTTTTTAGGTAAAGTTTCCAGTTCAATTACTGAAAATGACTACTATGGTTTTACAAAGTAAAACTGCAGTATCTTTAAAAAAGGGACTCTTTTGTAGGTGTTTTTGTCTTGCGTGGGTATCCGTCTCAAACTGAATGTTGGGTTTGTTTGTAAGTAAATTCAGAGTATAGCCTATGTGAGCAAAACCAACAGCTGTATTCTGCTACCCTCTGTTTGGACCATATTGTTTAATCAGTGATGCTACCTTAAACTTCTAAGGGTATCTGATGTAATTACATTGTATAATGGTTTACAATAAAGTTTGACTTATTACAGATTTGTACACTTGTTTTATACTTTTTCTGTTTAAAAGTGTGCGTGTTTCAGTGTTTATAATATGCTGTTTTGGGAAGCAGGTTTTGCTACTGGAGTTTAACTTCAGAACTGCACATTAATTTTTTGCAGTCTCATGTTGGGTATTAATTTCGATATATTCATTTACCTTAATAGCAAGTCCCAATTCAGTTGGAGGGACCACTATTCCCAAGTAGCAAATTTTGTTTACGAGTGTAAGAATCCTTGCAAGCTCTTCTCGGATCTGTTCCCTGAGGAGGGTTTTTGCCCTCTGCTTGTGCACACACGGAGAATAACTGTCTGTATTTTCATATGGGAAAATAAAACTTTCGATGCGCAACCTGAGAACTCCTGAGATTGCAGAACACTGACCTGAGGCCTTCTGGAGTGTAGGATGATGTTAAAATGCTTTAAGCACACAGCTGATTATCACAGCCCGCTTTTGGCTTTTCAGGCAAAGCCAGAACTTCTGGTTGTTGGCAACAAGAATGTGTAACCTCAGAAATTTCTGAATTTACCTCCAATATCCTGTCCCTTGGCAGAGGCATGGCCCAATTCAATAACTTGTTAACCTGTTTTATCTTCCGTTCCCCTTCTGATTTGTTTGCAGCAGGTAGTAGAAATGCAAGCTGAGGGAAGATGTCTGAGGGTCCTGTTGAGAAGTTTGCTTGTGCAGTGCCTTGTATCACAGAACTGATGTAGTACCTTCTCGGGGACAGAAAACGGCCACGTGGGGATGTCTAGTTGTAGGACTGAGTAGCCTCTCTGTCCCGTATCTCCAGAGGGCAACGTGCTGGAGATGACCAATGTCTTCCTTGCTTACTTTAGTCTCTGCTGCTTCCCAAAACCATGCAAAAGGGGAAGGGGGAAGCAGTGCTGATTCTTTTCTGTCTGGTGAAGACATCACTCCTACATGCTGTCTATGTAGTGCAGAGTTCTCTCTTCAGCTCCAGGGAAGCAGCTTCTTTGGTTACCAAAGTGTCTGCAGCAAGCACTTGGAGTTCCCTTATTATACCCAAGAAAATAAGTGTAGCCTAGCTTGGTTTTTTTTCTGTTTTGTTGGGCAGAAAGATGCCATCTTACTCTCCAGGTTCCCTGGAGGTATGGCAAGGTATCTACCATCAATTTTCCAGAGTGCTGGAGGAATGAGGAGGACCATGTAGGATGAGAGCTGGCTCACTGTGAAGGTGTAACGTGACCATGTGCAGGTAATAATTTCTTTCTTTCTTTTCTTTTTTTTTTCTTTTTAAGGCTGCAGATGGTGAGAGGTTGATATCTTTATGCCAGAATAGAGCAGAAATCCTGTTCTTAGTGAGCTGCTGTTGCTATCACCTCTTCCTATCTTGGTGGGAGCAGTTTAGCGTGTTCTGCTGGGCTGGACCTGCACAGTATTGACCCACTACTACCTCTGTAACTCCTCTATAATGTTTGCCAATTACTTTCATTACTTCTCACCTACTACACACAAGCAGCCCCATACCCACTGCATCCTTAAAGGAATTCAGAGTATAATTGTCAACCTATCAAGCCTGTCAGTCCACTGAGGGATGTTGGCAGTTTCCCGGAGAAGTCAGATCTTCTGTAAGATCTGTGTCTCCTGGAGATCACAGTGGCCATACGTGTACATTTACTAAATTCTCCGTGGTCATCACCATATTTTAGCTGCAACTGTTCCTCAGCAAAGGAGTCTTCCACACTTCGTATTGTGGTAGAAGATGAAAGAGGGCTAACTTGCATTTTTAATAGCCATTATTAAATAAATGAGCCTATCTTGTTTCATTGTCATTTGTGTCCCATTTAACAGATCTCAGGACCTCAACCAGGTGAACAGGATTTCTACTCTGAAATGTAAGCAACTGTAGATTTAGGTTGGTTTTTTGCAAGGAAAAATTAGCCCACGATCTGTGAGAGGAAATTGTTGTGTGTGTTGTTCAGCACTGGTTTAGGAAATGTATAATCAAAGAGAACAGAATTGTCCAGGCTACGGGGGATGTCTTAGAAACTTCAGGATATGCTGCCTACCTCTGTGGGTGCCTCATCTCCTATCTCAAATGGCATGCCAGCTGAAGGTGTTTTAATTTTGTTTGTATAATGATTTTGTTTGTATGAATTAAATTGCCATGAAAGCATAACTCTGTTGCTTTTGAGTGAAGAATATATAGTACCAATTAAATGAAGCAATTTTGAAAGCTGAAGGGAAAAAAACAGTGTCTTAAATTCTAAATATTTGCTTTAAGCATGCAGAATGTTATTTTGTTGTTGTAACAGTCAGAATAGTGACGCTTATGGGACTGTATAGAAACATCTTAGCAGAGAAGGAGAGGTGTTACTTTGTACAATGGAAAAAAAATCTGCTGTTTTTCTTAAGTTGATAGGGTTTTTTTCTTCTACTTTGTTAGCCTACTGAAAGGTACTGCTGTTCTGCAGAAACATTTCCTCTAGTTTACTAAGCCATGGCTTTAAAATAGAAATTCGATGTAAGGAATGGCTAAGTACATAACACCCAAACTGCTTCTTAACCTACAAATAATTCTTCCAATAGTCACATAAAGGAAAGCATCTTCTCAGGCCTGGAAAGAGTTCAGCTTAAAGGCAAAAACAGGCACCCGGAGGCCTCGGGGATAGTTCCCAGCCGACAAATCCCATCTCCCTGACTGTATGGCGCTAGTGCTGTGGTACTGATGTAATGTTTTCATAATGAAAAATGCCAATTTTATTTTACATCCTGTGCTTCTCTCTGTAGCCTAAACAAAACACAGGCAGAGCTCGAGAAGAGGCCAGGGCAGATTTCTACCACTACAATGCTCGAACTTTCTAGTAAAAGATGTTTGAAGGTCTGCCACATCTGCCTTTCTCGTATTAACATATCTGGCTGGAGTCTTGGTTCTTTGTAGGTGTTGAGTGTAGTCACAGACGCTGATTTTTTTGCATGACACAAAGAATTAATGTAAAAAATATATTAAAAAAAAAAAAAAAGGGGGGGAACCCCGTACCCAACCCTCCCCCACCCAACCCTCTCCTGGTAATAAAAAATAGAATTCATGCTTAGAGGGGGTTTTTTTTCTATTTAATTAAAAAATAGTTTAGGGAAAAATGTTAAAAGTTCTGGGAAAAGTTTTACTACTGTCAGCATGTACAGTGGGGCACACTGAATTTATTCATGTCTGAGTAAGTTATACCTATACAGATGACAGGTGAAATGATTAAACTTACTAATACCGCTGTAAGTAGAAAGTGATTTTACTCTCTCGGTTGTGTAAGAGCTGGCATCAGGGCAAGCTCAGCAATAAGAACTGTTAAGGGTAAAACTATATCCTGTTTTATTTACTCTCCAAAATGGACAAAATACTCTTCTGTTAGAGATCCCTGTGCAAAAGTGATTTAGGGTGCCATGTTATGCTTTGGATGTTAGGTTTAGATATAATCTTTAGTGAATTCGTGTTTTGTTATGCTGGGAAAGAAACACAAACACTTTCTCCCCCCCACAAGAGGATTCAGAGTCAATTTTGTGTCAATAACAAAGTTTTGCCTTTTCAAGTTAAAAATAGAGCCCCAGTGGACTTCCCGGGAAGTCGTTTTGTAGTGGATCCGGCTTCGCCGGGGGCCCGCCGCCACCGCCGGCCGCCCCCCTCCGTCCCCAGGCACAGGGCGCAGTAAATACTGCAAACCCTCGTCATCGCTAAGAATAAACCTTTCAACAACAACAGCCTCTGTCAACCTGAATCATCCTGGGTTCTGGTTTGGGAAAATGACCCAGCTAATGACTTCATGTTAGATGCTCTATATAAGTCGAGGAAAAAAACAGACGTTCGCAGAGCGCGCGGGCTGGATTTAATCAAAGCCGGGAAACGACCTCGGAAGGGATTACGGTCGAGTGAGCACCGCAGTTATGTCACAGGTACAGGGAGATCTGTGAGACTGGCTCTTGTTAGAGCAGGGTGCCTAATAAATATATTACTGTTTCAGAGGGTTTGCTTGGAATAACTTATTAGCAAGTTACTCTCGTTAACCAGTGAATTTGGCTTTTCTGCTCTATATGACTTGTTCGGTTATGTTGACGTATTTAAACACTGTTTATATATTTTAGCAAGTAAGTTGTTAGGAGGGATTATTTGAAGAAGAAGGAAAGCAGCTGCCCTCTACATGGTTAATTAATTCAGTTTTAAAATTTTCTGGTTTACCATAAATATTTTTATTTATGTAGGAAGGGAAAAAACATTTCCACTGCTCTGGTTTAGGGTGTTTTACAGAAGGAGTGATTTCTGCTTTTGCAACACGCTTTCTCAGACAATGATTTGAAATTTTGGCAGTAGTTTTGAAAGGACGTGGCTATACTGAAGTATGCTGTTGTGTAAAGCTTAATGTATTGATATGCGGGAAAAGAGAGAGCGTGACTGAAAATTACAACTGTTAGGATACAATATTTGAGACTGAAATTTTG